TTTTTTTTTTTTTTTTTTTTTTTTTGGACAGAGTCTCTCCTTTCAGAAGACAATTCCTCAGGCCTGTTTGATATTTGGGTTGGGATGAATAAATTGATTTCAAGTCCCACTTTGTTCCTCACGGCTACTGTCTGCATGTATAAATCTGGGAATCATTTTCATGTTGTGGTTATTGTTCAGTTGTGCCTGACTCTTCATGACCCCATTTGGGGTTTTCTTGGCAAAGACACTGGAATGCTTTGCCGTTTCCTTCTACAGCTCATTATACTCCAGGGCTGGCATTCTGTCCATTGTGCCAAAGTCACATAGCTAATAACTAAATGGCTGAGGTGGAGTTTGAACCTGAGTATTCTCTGTGTCAAGTCCAGTGCTCTCTCTACTACATCCTCACTACTTAATCCAAGTTACATCTGACCAAAAAATCTCCTCTGGAGCATCTGCTAGTCTGGGAGTGGGGAATGGGAGGAGTGGTGAGAAGGAAGCTGCAGTTCTGAACGCTACCATTGGGGCACAGTCAAAGAAAGACGTCTGTAGGCAGCCCACATCTCCTCCTTCCAATCACCTCCAGCCTCCATGCATCTTCCTCTCTCCCCAACTCCCTGTAGGTGCATTGGAGGACCTGGACCATGCCATCCTGCTGAGTCGGGGCCAAGGACAGGTGGCGTGCCAGAGCTATGTCCAGAGGGGGCTGGTAGCCCGTCTGCAGGGCAGAGATGATGACGCCAGAAGTGATTTCCAGAAAGCAGCTGGGCTGGGCAGCCCCTTTGCCCGACGCCAGCTGGTCCTGCTCAACCCGTATGCGGCCCTGTGCAACCGGATGCTGGCTGACATGATGAGACAGCTGCAGGGCCTCAGTGAGCCCTGAGCAGAGGCACCCCTGCCTGGGGACCTTGGCCGCCCAGGAGGGCCGCCACTAACCCAATAAAGCCGCCTCTGCTCCAGTCTGACTCCTCGTCCTCTCTGGGCTTGGCCAACGTGATCAGAGTGTCTAAGTTTCAGAGCCAGAGAGAGCCTTTGGGGTCATTTAGTCCCACTGAGGCCCAAAGGTCAAGCAAGGGAGAAAGTTAGAGTCTGGATTGAAGCATGCGTCCTCTGGCTCCAGACGCCCAAGCTCTTTCCACTACACCACCAGGGTCTCTATTCAGTTCTGCAGTCATGAAGGCAGT